GCCTGTACGTCGTGTTCGGCAGTGCCGTTCCAGGTGACACCATTGACGTCACGGCGCTGAGCGGCAGCGACGGGTTCAAGGTGACAGACGGTGGCGGCGGCAGCTTCAATTCGCCGTTCTACAGCCCGATCGACATGACTGGAGATGGATCGACAGACGTCGCACTGTTCATCTCGACCTTGTTGATGCCGTCCTTCGTGACAGTGAATTCTCCGTATGCCATTGTGGGCAACGGACCGGCAGGAGGCGCGAGCAACAATGCGGCCACGTCAACAACCTCCAGCAGCCTCTCCACTTCAGCAACCACAAGCAGCTCGACAGAGACATCTTCCTCCACATTTACACATACATCAAGCAGCTCCTCCACCTCAAGCAGCATGACGTTCTCTTCCACGTCATTCGCTGAGACTTCTTCTAATACATTTACAGGAACATCAAGCAGCTCCTCCACCTCAAGAAGCATAACGTTTTCTTCCACATCTTTATCAGAGACTTCTTCTTCTACACTGACACGCACCTCACAAACCACGACATCCGATGGCAACAGTAGTTTCGAGACAGGTGATGAAGCAACCACCACAGCCGAAGTCGTATCAGGCGAGCAACAGACCGACCTCTTGGACGACGAAGACAACGGGGTGAATGGATGGGTGGTCTTTCTGATCGTGATGACTGTGCTGATCATGATCGGGTGTGGGGTCGTGGTGTCATGCTGGATAGTGAGGCGCCGTGACAGGAAGGCGCAGGTCACGCATGAGCAGGAAACCACTAACGCAGCCGCAGCGGCCTCACTTTCGAGCACCAGATGCCAAGTGGGTACCGCTTGGTGACGTTATTTTGTCTTTCGCAATCTTCGCACAAGAAGTTGAGTGCCTTTTAGTCCTTCAGACGACGTCTCTTTGTCAAACAGACCAAGAGCCTTCCGGCACGGTTGTGTGCAACCGCTACTGTGGTTTAAGAGCAGATCCTCTGTTGTGAACACTACCTTTGACTCTGTGTGTTGTGAGCCGAACCGCAGTACTGACTTTGGACTAGCCACTTCGTAGCACAAGTGTTGCCAGTCACCAGTCAGGTCGTCCGCACTGTTGGGCCTTGCACCTCGAGGTGTGCACAGGTCAATCGGAAGCCTTGAGATGTCTTCCTTTTCAAAGTTTTCACGATGTGGGCACCCACTGGGCGATAGAGGTAGTATAGGTACGCAGCTCTTGGTAACGAAGTAGCATCGGATGTCAGCTCATTTCAGTACCTTTTCTTCTGTGATTCGTTAGGGCCACCTCGCTAAGGCGGGATGTTGACACCAATTCGGCCTACAAGCTGCACAGTCGGGATTGAGTTTTGCGCAAATCATCGGCATGAATGCCGGTGTGCTTCCCTCCATGCTCTATTGCGCATGGCACATGCCTCCATTGTCTTGGATGGAGCTTTGTTCGCTTGACACTCAAGGCGTTTGTGTGCGCGGGGGAAAAATGTCCCACGCACTCTGTGTTCGTTTATGCCAGCCGAGCCAAGCCATTTATGCACTGCACAGTGGTGCTATTCAGGTGGACCACTGCAGCGCCACCTTGCAGCCGCTGCCCAGACACACGGCTGATCTGGCTTGAATGGCGTCCCTGAGAATGATCTTCTGCAGCGAGTGTAATTTTCGTTGCCAGCATACTTCAGCTGTCGACGGACCGGCACCTCGACTTCAGGTGACTGAGTCTCAAGTTCTTTGGAGTGTTGACATGCTCCTGCAATTTCGATGCTTCAGCTACGTCGACCGAACCCAAACTCGTAGCATAATTCGACGACTGCACCCGCTCCTTTCCTATACAGGTTTGTGGGCGCAGCTGGGTGTACGGACCAAAGTTTCTGCTGTCGGATTCCGATTTCCTGGGTCTCCGTTGCACTGTCAGTAGCCTCGCACGGTTCCTCAAGGACTTCTCGAGCGAGTCGAATTTCATGCCTCTTATTCAAGCTTGCCTTATGATTGCTTTGAGCCTCGCATGCCATCCCGGATGGAACAGCCTGTCAGACGTGCTTTCGGTTTGCACATGCAACCCGCGTAGCGAGGTGACAATCCGCGCTGGAAAGTGTGCATTTGGCCGTCGTCCTTCGTTACTGTTACCTTCGTTCTTCGATATCGTCGCTCCATGGCTGCCTTCCATCAAAATGCACGCCGCACGCCTGAGCTGCTGTGGCGGACTTCGTCTTTTTCATAATTTTGCAGGCAAATGCTGCCTTGGACCCGGCATTAAGAGGGCCAAGGCAGACGACTCCAGCTTGATGGGTTCACAGATCTCCAATCCCTCCGTATTTCAATGCGGTTCGGGCACTAGATGCATGAGGTGAACTCTTGTCTGGTGTACATGTGGCACGACAGAGCCTGGTGCAATGGATGGTCTGATTTAAAGTGCTGTATGGACCTGCTGACACAAGCATGTCGAAGGTTGCATGCTTTTCCCCATCCCACTTCCTGATTGTGACGACAGCATCGCATATCGGAGACTGTTGTCAGTTCCTACACTCCAGGTGACAGCTGCATTTGGCTCGGAGAAGCAGGCAGCACCCATCCAAAGAAGATCCACCCGAATTTCCCGACACAGCATGGTGGGCTGGCGTCGTAGCCGCAGTGAGCTGCCGTACCTGGCTGGGGTCGCCCTCGTCAGTGCCTTATGGGAACTGGACAGGGGGCTCAACATGCATGCTGTGTCGCGGTAGGCGCCCCATGGTCTGCGGCGGTCCAAGGCCCTCATTGGCAGCTGCGCCTGGTTGATTTGCACCTACCGCCGCTTGCGTCGGGCAACTTCTGCGGACAGCGATGCTGAGCTGCAGGCTTGCAGCCAGAGCGCCAGTTTCATCAGGTCGTTGCAAATGCTGTGGGAGTAGATCTGAGAGGCTGACGGCATAGCTTTCCTGAAGGCTTTTGCAAGATACTTGCTGGCCGGACGGGTGTGTTCCGGATTTCATTTCAAGCGGCAGGGCCTGGGTAGGGGTAGCGTGTCAATGTGCTGTTCTACTGCAGCCTGAGGTACCAACAGTCAGTTTTGTATCACCACCTGAGGATATCATGGTGCGCTTGGTCCTTTTCTTGGTGGCAAAGGCGTGTCTGTTGGATGCCGGCTCGTGTTTGCAATTCTTGATATTGCAATCTTGAGCAGGCGGTCTTGCTGGCGCTTGAAATCACAATGCTTTGTGGAGCATGGTCTGATGTGAGCACTGGATGGTACGTCGCCCTAGGGCCGCTGGGCTGTGTTTTACGGGTCTGCCGTAACATCTTCGTAGCGATTCATGTTGCTGCTTACCCAGAGCTCTTTGCACGCTTGTCCAGCCTAGGATTCTGTTGTTGGACCTTCCGACGGCCACTTGACACGCACATTTGCCATAAAGCTGTGATAGCTGGGAGCTAAGCTAGACTCTCATTACCTGCCGTGAGGTTGCTGCAGCTGTCACTATGTGGAAGCAGGCCAAAAGAATGATGGCGCGATTCCAGGCTGGCTTAAGAACAAGCCTTTCAGCACAAGCAACAGCACAAGCAAAAGAACCAAGTGCCTCTGCAGCGATTGGTTCCGGCTGCTGGTGGAAGCCTCTGCGGTCGGCTGACAGCATAAGGTAGACCTGCGGCCAAGGAGTACCTAAAGCCCCGAGATGCATAGCTAACAATTGCGCCAGGAAGAGAGTCAGAAGAAACGCAAAGAGCGGCGCAGCGAGTACTTGGACATGCTTCCGCGACTCTCCTTCCAGGCACCCCGCCATTACGGGGCAGGTTGTTGTTACTAACATTGAGGTACATCCAGCGCGACTTGTTGGGCATAGCTCGCTCGTTCTGAGGGCTAACTGTTGGGAAGTAGCGTGCTTTCTGCTGAAAGTGTGTGTTAAGCCCCTATCGTTTCTCGACCTGACAAGCAGTTCCATGATTAGCAAGGACTCCCTTGAGTTCAGTGTCGCGTCTAAGAGTTCGATATAGTTGAACCTCAAGATGTGTCTAGTTTGACTCCATTTGTGAAACGACCTGATGGCTGCATGATGCTGCACGCAGCAGTACTACTCATAAAGTATTCGCTTGGACGTCGCGCAGCGTTCGTGTGCCTATAGGCTTCGAGCAGACTTCCTTTCAGTTCATGTGTTCAACTCCATCAGCAGCTTTGATTTGCTAGTGCTGTTATAGAGCCCACGTCACACAGTTTTGCAGCAAAGAAGAGCTGCTGGCAGGAGTTCTCCGAGCGCGAGCAGGAGAACAGCGACGAGAACGAGTTTACAAATGACAGGCTTCGACATGGGATTATGCTTGTGTCCCTGACATGAAGGATGTCTGATCTTCGCAGGATTTCTCGCGACTGCTCTAGTGTCTCCATAGACTGGTCGTAGGGCAACTAGCTACTGCGATGATGGATGTCACTGAAGACGTTGTTCAGTTCCACGACTCCACATGAACATGGCTGCTTCTTCTTCAGGGTCCCAGACGAGAAAGAGATCGGCAGCCACCAGCACAACAAGTGTTCTCAGGACTGGGGGGCAATGTTGAATTCAAGGCTGAAGCTTAGAAAGACACGGTAGACCCGGTAGACATGACAGGTGAGGTGCCTCCTGCCTGTGCTGTCAAGTGTGTGCACATGGTGAGCCTTTCCAATGGAGTGGCTTGGATTGTGCGGCTGTTCTATGCTCTTCTAGAGTTTTGTGAAGTAGGAGGCAGCTGAGTACCGTGCATATGTTCTCGCAGTCACCCAGCTCCAGCTGCAAAAAAGTGTCAGCAACGCTGGCACCTGTTCGACGTAATGGGGGTGTCGGGCTTGATACAGTAGATGCTGGAACCCTACGGAACTGCCAGGATCAATGCATTATTTGCCTTGCCGACTTCAAGCCCGATTGCACAGTATCGTGGCACAAGACAGCACCCAGGTGAACCCGGGGCAAGATATCGACCGTTGACAATGGGAAGTTGTGAGTTTTCGGGGTTAGTTTCGGTGCTGACTTTCAGGGCGGAGTTTCGAAACAGGGTCCCGGACATTGCTGGATTGAGAAGGTCAGTTTCGGTCTTTCAGGCCCAGGCCTGCAAGAATCGGACTAGAACCCACCCTCCCAAACTGACAGACGTCCCGAAACTGACTCCCGCTGTGCCGAAACTGGGCGCTGAAACTCTCCACTCTGATTCGAAACCCCCGGCAGCCGATCCGAAACTAGAACCCCGAAACTATGGACACCCACAGTTGAAAATGGAGCGACTTCCGGGGACCGAGCCTTATCCCAGAAGCAAAGAGGTTGTGGATAACCCGTACTCCGCTCGTGTTGTTTGCCGCCATTGAGTGGGACCCTCTCCGGGAGAGAATCAGTGCATTCCAGCTCTAACAAGGTTGTTCGCCTCGACTGCGGCCATGTCTACCATGTGCCTTGGCTTGAAGCCATGTCAGTCGGGTCCAAGGCCTAGACTGCGCCAGCATGCCTGGAATCAGCCACGCCTGTGCTGGCTTCCTCGCAGGAGGGCTGCATTTCCACGTGGCTCATGGATGAGAAGCGAGATCCTTGCCCTTTCCGCTGCACCAACTTCCCAGCAGACTTGGTCCATGGGCTGCAGAGCGATACCGAACTGTAGATCGAATGAGTTGTCCAACAGTGTGTCACAATAGCGCCGCAAGGCATCTGCAATCTGAATGACTGCATCCGTGTCAAGCGTGTCCACCATGACAGACGTGCGCATGCTGCAAACAGCATCGTGCGCACGCATGTGTGTTCGCACACGCATGTATGTGGTATGTATGTACGTATGTATGTATGTATGTATGTATGTAAGTAATCATTTATGTACGTATGCATCTATGCATGCATGCAGGTATGTAACAGCGCGTACATGGACGTATGCTGTTACATATGCATGTATGTATGCAGCATGCATGCATCCATGCATGCATGTATGTTTATGTAACATATGCATGCATGCATGCCTGCATGCAGGCCGGCTGGCATGCAGATGTATGTTTGTGTGTTTGTATGTATGTATGTATGTATGTATGTATGTATGTATGTATGTGCGTACGTACGTATTTACTTAGTTGTGTGTTTGTATATGCATGTACGCTAGGTATGTAGGTAGGTAGGTATTTAGGTCCAATGTAGGTATGTAAGTATGTATGTATGTAGTCTTGTATGTTTGGGGGGTACGTGTGCCTGTGTGCATGTGTTTAGTGTTTATGCAGCTCTCTTTCTCTTCTTTAGCTTCTACCTCTGTAGACATGTATCATTGTGTACAAAACCGTAATTGGCCGACCAAACATAGGCTGGCACCAATTCAGGGAATGCCCGATGAGCTTTCACATCCTTGGGGGCGGTCTCTCACGCAGTCTTTGTATTGAAACTACTTGAGAACTGCGCCGGACATGGGGCAGCCGATTTCTTGAGAAAGCCATTGTGAGGTTCGCGCAGACGACCAAGCAGACCAAGATGATAGTGTGGTGGCAACGAGTTCCGCCACGGCAGCCACGCCTCTTGTCATACCACCGTCCAATTTTGGGACCAGGCCAAAATGCAGGGTATCTGGCGAGAAGTTTCCATTCCGACCTCGGGAAATCCTAATTCAAACCGCATGTACCTCTAAATGCTTGCTTTGCATGCTAAAGGATTTGCAGTCGAAATGCTATAGCTCGTTGGTATGCAAACCCCCTACCAGAAGAAACCATGTACGTCCAGTTGTTTGGGACTCTGCAGCCTGCAGCCGTCCCGTTTCATCGAAATGCATGACACGCCTGCTAGTCGGGCTTGTGGCTTGAATGCCCCAAGCTGGGTGGGCTCCATCTCCAATGCCAGACTGAGCCTGCTAGTTTACCCTGCGGTCTCAATGTACGTCCCCAGAGCCCGGCGCCTGCATGTGCCATCCGAGCGTGAGAGTCCAAAGAACAAGCGTGCTGCCGAGGCCGAGTGGCGATGTTGTGGGCCGACCATTGGAACGTTTGGAGGTGTAGGGGCCGGTAGGCCAGATGTGGCTACATGTTCAAGAATTTTTGGGGTCGTTGGTTTGGGCCTTAAGGTTTTACTACGGCCATTCCTAGTTCTAACGAAGCTGGATGAGCTTCTGGGGCTCCCAGAGCGATCGACCACCAGCGTAACTGTGATGCCATTTTCTTCCGTGCTTAGCATGGGCATGGCCTTAATCCTTACGAGCGAGGCACCCGTACAGAGAGCTTACTAATTTCATAGCCTGCATCTGCTTCTTGAAGCTTTGACTTTGTGTGGTGGAAACCCATGCCGATGCCCAGTGAAGTGGAAGCCCTGCCATTGCCCATGCTGACTCCTCATTATTCTAGAGGCGCTAGAGCTTCATCTGACATGTCTCCTTCTCACGTGCGAACCAGAGATGTCACACTTCCGTTGCACCCATGAGCACCAGCCCCAACCACCCCTGTCTGCGGGCTGACTTCAAGTGTTGCTTCCTAGGCTAGTCACCGGTCGAACCTTTAATTGTTTTGCATTGGTCTGGACTTCTGAAAGTTGCCACAGCAGGGAGGAGGTGCTGGGCCGAGGGTTGATCTGGCTACGAACCGGGTGAAGCCAATCACGTCAGAGATCGGAGTTCCATGTGGAGCACAGACAGCATCGCCATATGCTGAAGATGATGTAGACTGGGATTAGAGGCAGCACCCAGCTTCCTGCTGGCTTCTTAGCTGGACATTTCTGCAGCAAAATTTGTGAACATGCTCAGCAGTTTAAGCTTCATGGCTGCAGAGAAGCAAGCCAGTAGGACATGTTCATGCCGTGATGTATATACGCAGCAAGACTTCCCCGCCGGTGGAACCTTTGGTGGCCTGCCGCATCAAGTCGGCAATCAGGCGCACATGCGGGCCCATGCAAGAACCGCAGGAGCTTGGCGTGTCGGTAACGCTGTTCGTGCAGCTCGTACCAAAGCAGCTGAAAGAAGACCTTCCCACGACGGCCGTCGACACGAATCTCAGCAGTCTCCCCCAAGGGGAGCTGCTTGGATACAGCAAGAAGGAGAGGCCTTGTGACCGTGTGACGTTGTGCTTTGGATGTTTCCATAGATGTGTCTCGTAAGGCAGATGGGTACACTACTCACATCACATCGACTTTCCTTCAGTAGTTCGTTATCCCAATGCTTTAAGCAGAAGCAGATCGAGCTGTGCTCGGTTTCTGTTAGCTTCTCGGGAGGCACCTCGCGCTGCTGTAGTGGCTTGAGTTCCAGCACAAACACAGCCCTTGAGAGACGTTGGCCATGGCTAAAGTCAGCAGCAGGGACTATCCAGAACCATCACGGATCGTAGCAGCTTGCAGGGGTGCACATGGTCCGACTTGCAATGCTGACACGTATGCTAGTTTCCTGTCTCGCTTCGATTAATGTAGGCGAGCCAAATATGCAGACATGTAACATCACAGCAAGGAGTTCCAAGGCAGATTACTATAGAATGAGACAGCCATCATTCAAAATGCAAATGCTTCTTTTGCGCAATTAAAACTGCTAGACGTACAGATGATATGGTACGACCTAGCATACAAAGGGACTTGTGCCTGGCGCTCACAGTCTCTACAGGAAGAGCTCGAGCCGCAATTGATTTCAGAGACCTGCAGGGTAAAGCCGTAAACATAGACGAACAAAGCCCACAAAACGTTTACATGAAAGGTGAGCCATGACTTCGCATCACGCATTCTTTGTGGCCTTTTTCATGTTCCGAGATTTTCCGCTTTCCTTGTGAAGGCCCTGGGCTTTTCAAGTCACTTAAACCACCGACGCAGCCGCGACCACACTGACGTTCTGCTAAAAGGGTGAGCCACGCTTCTATGTTGAAGTGAACTGCACGAGTACCCTAAATGGACCCTGGGATCCTTGCCTACTTGTGAGATTAGGAGTCGGCATGTTCGGGCTTTCATCGTCCTTGTAGATGGAAGGTTTGTGACCATGTTGGAGTGTGCGCGGCAAGAATACTAGATGAGGGCTCTTCTCTTCCTGCGACTGCAGTGATGCAGTAGGCTACGGTACTTGAATTTGCACAAGTCGCAGAGGCACTTTTAGTCTTGCGGAGCCCCGTGGCCTACTCTGTTGATCTGGTGTCCTGACGCTTCGAGTTTATGAGTCTGTCACTCTTGCGGCTGATCCAGCTTCGGATTGCAGTTCGAGGCTCCCGATGTCCTTATGAAGGTGACCTTTCGTTCCAGCGAATCCTGGAACTTCACGGATGGAACACACCCTGAGTTTGGCCTTTTGTGTGTGCCTGCGGCTCTGAAGCAGTGAACTGGCCTTTGTTTTCACATCGGGTTCACAGCATGTAGTGTGGGCATACATACTGCAATTGTGGTATCGTGGCGTCGAGAGGCACGAACCAGGAGAGCCAAGCCCGCGAGAGCCGATGGCATCCTTGCGAGATTTTGGGGCAGCTGGCAGTTACCCAAGCCAAGCTCTGCACAAGACGAGGATGTGCCAGAACTTTGCCTTGGGACGCTGCACCCTGGGAGAGGCTTGTCGCAATGCGCACACAGCGGAGGAGCTCAAGAAGACCAAGCTGTGCCGGCATTTTGAGAACGGTGGTTGCAGAAATGGAGCTCGCTGCACTTTCGCACATGGTGAAGCACAGCTTTTTGTGCCACTTGCGGGCATGGAAGTGCAGGCCGCACAGGCACCAGGCTCAGTTGGCGAAAACGGAGGGCTGGTTCGCAAAACCAAGCTGTGTCAAAAGTTCAAAGATGGCACTTGCCCTTTCGGCTCAGAGTGCCGCTTTGCACATGGCCTGTCTGAGTTGAAGAAGACCAAGATGTGCGAGCACTTTGCACGTGGAGGGTGCAGGAATGGCAGCACATGCATATTCGCACACGGAGGGGAAGAGCTTTACATTCCGGAAGAAGGAGACTTTGTGCCACCTCGGGGCCCGGCAGCTTCAAGGGTTTGGGAGTCCAGGGAGTCGGTCAACAGTGACCTCCAGAAGACGAAACTGTGCCGGAATTACATGGAAGGTAGCTGCTCCTACGGTGCGAGGTGCCACTTTGCACATGGTGCCTCTGAGCTCAAGGCGGTAGCATCGGCAAGCAGAAATGAGGAAGGAAGAAGCTCTTCGCTCAAAGATGGGCAGTTGCCGCCGCCAAGCGATGAAGACTCAGACTCGGACCAGGCTTCCAGTGCCGACTCTGAGGTACAGAGCGGCACGGCAAGCTTCAGGTGCATGGCTTCAGCCACCGTGGAGCGGGTGTGTGAGACGCAGGTGGTGCTTCAAGTGCGTGGGCAGCAGCGCATTGTCGCACTTTCATGCTTTGTAGATCTGTGGTTTACACAGCCCTTTGAGGGTAACGAGCTTGCATTCCCCGACGTGTCGCATTGGTCCAGGCACATCCAAATTGTGCCTCATTTGCGCAAAGTCGGGGATCGAGGGATGAGGAACTCCCAGCTCTGCGAGTTCACAAAAAATCTCTGGGATGCTTACCGGAGCGAGGGTGCGGTAATCCTTTCACGCTTGCAGCTGTATTCTTTTCCTCACCTGGAGTGTGCCCTCCAACAAAGCCAGCTCCCGGTTTCGTGCATGCTGCAGATTGTGGATCTTGCCAGGGAGATTCTGAAGGACATGGGCTCCAATGTGTCGCTCCCTGACGGACACCCCACGACCCCGGAGTCTTCCTTCATCCTGCATCTGCTGAAAAGCTCTTTCGTGGAACGCAGGCTGCCAGAGGCATTGTCGCGCGGTGAGCTGCTATCGGAGCGGGCGGTTCATTTCATCACGGAGGCTTGCCGGGTCCTTCCCGCTTATGCGTTCCTCCTGACTCCCTTCATTGAGGCTGCGTCCAAGACAGGGTCAGGGTCGACGGAGATGGTCCTGTACGTTGTGAAGACCTACAGCGAGCTCTTGGCATCACAGGCCGGCTATGTGAACCTGGTGTCGTGGAGCAAACTGGTCCTGGCTCCACAGCTGTTGTGCCTTGGCCGGTTGTCCTTCACAGGGCCAGGTAGGATTCCAAGCAGTTTTTGTGAAAAGATGGGCACAATTCAGGAGTGGGGATCTGTCCGACTTGCAGTCCCTGCCAGCCGTGAAGTGGAGTTACGACACCTTCGAGGAGTACATGGACACATACTTCCGACTGCTCCGGGCAGATTGTTTCGGCTCCTTGCAAGCGGGTGTACAACAGTTCATCGCAGGGAAGCTTGACCCTCGTGACCTTCGGGTATACTATGCCAGGATGACCAAAATCCACGTCCTTAAATTCTCGCAAGGACTTGTGGCCACCATCCGCTGCCAAGACTATTTCGGGCGGAGGGGCTTTCCTCCAAGCGCACTGATGCAGAGCAACTTGGTGTGCATATCCGTTGGCGAGGAGCCCTTTCACGAGGTCCTGTGGGGTCGAATCGTGGAACGGCCCGGCGACAATCGGAAGGACAGCATCGAGGTAAGCATTCAGTTTCCCCAGTCCCTAAACCGCCAGTTGCACAGCAAGAAGCTCTTGACGAAGCTCTTTAGTGCCCAGCTTTTGGCTGACAGCCCCGTCTTCTTCCAAGCATTCGGGCCGGTCTTGGAGAAGTTGCAGGGCACCACAGAGGCCACCATGCCCCTGAAACGAGTGCTCCTGGGACAGAGGCAGGGCATCCGAGCAGCGGCTGAGCAGCTGCCTTGGTCGGAGTCGGCGCTGAGGTCCCTGCGAAGCACTGTGGCGCGCCAGGAACGTACTTTCGACGAAGCTCAGCTGGAGGCCTTGGAGATGATGCTGCAGTCAACATGCTGCTGCATTCAGGGTCCTCCTGGGACCGGCAAGAGCTTCATTGCCGTGAAGGCCTGTCGGCACCTTCTTCATGGAAGCACTTCTCTGTCATATGCCTCGGGTGCGAGTCGCTTCGCTGACATTGAAAGAGCCTGTGACAGTGAGGATGATCTTTCTGAAGACGCATCCGAGATGTCTGATGAGTCAGGGCCTCGTGATAATCGACGCCGAATACTAGTCTTGACCTACAAGAACCATGCCAACGATGAGTTTCTGGTCGATTGTCAGAAACACATGCCTCACGTGCAGGTGGTCCGAATCGGGGGACGTTGCGAAGACGAGAGGCTGCAAGACTGCAACTTGAAGACCTTGGCGAAGCAGAAGAGCAAAGAAAAACTCTTGGGCAAGATGGCTTTCAAGTTGATCTCAGACAAGCAAGAAATCATCGACCGGCTTCAGCGAGAAATGTCTTGTCTTGAGGCCGAGATGGATCCGTCAAAGCTATTTGCAGCAAGAGCGACCAATCAGCAGATCTGTTCCTTGCTGGAAGGCTGCCCAAACAAGCAGCGCGGCCACGGGAAGCATCACGAAAGCCTCCTCCGGAGCCTTGCAGAAGGCCTGCGCCCGACGGCTTCGGACCTGAGGCCCTGTTGCAAACACTGGCTCCCCAAGCGCCCGGAGCCCAAGGAGCCCAAGGAGACGAAGGAGACGAAGGAGACGAAGGAGACGAAGGAGACGAAGGCGGGCGGTGCGGGAGTGGGTGGCCATGTTGCTTTAAGAACTTTACGACTTTAAGCCTTTTGCGCATAATGACATAGGGTGACGAGGGTCGCTTTCATCAGGTGCTGGAAGATGTCGAAGCAGAGGAGGTAGCTCTGGAAAGGCAAGCCTTCGCAGAACAGACCGAGAAGCTTTGCACTCTGAATTTGGAGGAATGCTTGGGGCCCACTCTCTTCCTGGATGCCGCACCTTTGTCGGTGGTGTACAGCGAAGATGTTTGGGCCTTGAGGGCCCGCGAGCGTGCCGGGCTCCTGGGCACCTGGCTGGAATCAGAGCTGGGCAACTCGAGCATCTTTGACACCATCCGAGAGTGTGACACAATTCAGGAGAACGGGGCTTTGCTTTTAGACCGCCAGCTCATAGAGCAGGCCTCGCTTCGGGTTCACCGGCTAGCAGCTACCAAGCGCGGGTTTGGTTGGAGTTTCTTTCTTGACGCAGGAGCGCCTGACCCGCATTGAGCAAGAGCACCAGCAAATGATCCTTCGTGAGGCGGGGCTGGTCGGGTCGCAGGTCAGCAGTCCCTCTAGGCCCTAGGCAATCGGGAGGAGGAACCGGAGCCAAGCCCCCATTCCTTCTCCAAGGCTTCCATTGTTGGCTGCACGATCAGCGGTGCCTCCATCCGGGGAGATCTCTTGAAAAAGGCCGGGTTATCCGAAATCTTCAGGCTGGAGTCCGAGGGTTCAGCGGGTGGGGCCTGTCCAAGGTGAACTTCGACGTGGTGATAGTAGAGGAGGCCGCTGAAATCCTCGAGTCTCAGCTGGTTGCAGCCATTCCCCCAACTTGCCGGCAGCTAATTCTGGTCGGAGACCATTTGCAACTTCGGCCCAAGATCGAGAACCACCTGCTAGGCAAGCAGTTGAACTTTGACCGTTCAATGTTCGAGAGGTTGCTGCTGCACAAGCTGCACGATGAGCGATTTCCCCAGAAGACCCTCACCCTGCAGAACCGTATGCGGGATGACTTTCTCTGCCTGCTCAGGCCTCACTATCCAGACCTGAAGTCCAATTTCATGAGAGTCGCTCAGAACGAGCAGCTCTCTTGTGTAACGAAGCCCATGTACTTTCTCCGCATGCGCTCGCTGTCCGAGACGGAGTCTGAAATCGGCCGGAGCAAGATGAACCCGGACGAGGCAGACGTGATCCTTGCTTTCATCGCCCACATCCTCCACGAAGGCTATGAGCAAAGCGACGTCACCGTTCTAGCCAGCTACAATGGTCAGGTGAACTTCCTTAGGCGGCAGCTTCGGGACAGACAGCTCGCCGGTGTGGTTTGTTCATCCATCGACCGGTACCAGGGGGATGAGAATCGATTTGTCTTAGTCTCCCTGGTCAGATCGAATGATGCTGATGAGATCGGCTTCCTGCGCGAGCCAAACAGGCTCATCGTGGCAGCTTCACGGGCTAGGTGTGGGGTCTACTTCTTCGGGAACGACTTGCTGTTGGCAAAGAAATCCCGAGATTGGAGGCAACTGATTCGCGTGATGGAGGAGCGGGAGGAAGTTGGAGACAAGTTGCCGGTGATTTGCCCCCGACATCCGCACATTCCACTTGACTTAGGCCGGGAGTGCCATCACGTCTGCAAGGCAACCTTGCCGTGTGGGCATACGTGTGAGGCACACTGCCACCGGGATGGAGCTCACCCACCTTGCAAACAGCCGGCAGTTGCAACGCTGAGATGCGGACATGACAAGGCCTGTGAGTGCTCAGCACGAGACCAGGCGGATGAGATCTTGAAGTGCCATGAGGTGGTGAACTTTCGCCATGAACACTGTGGCCACCAAGACACACGCATGTGCTGCGACAAGCCGAAGCCATGCAAAACGCAGGTGGGCATACAGTGCACCAGTTGTTCGGAATGGTCGTCCACGCAATGTCATGTAAAATCAGGTGGCAACTTCCAGTGCCGTTTCCCCTGCAAGAAAGTCATGAAGTGTGGGCACCCCTGCAGCCTGCTTTGCTTTCAAGATTGCGATCTGGCTTTGGACGATTGCAAGGTGTGTGCGCAAGAGCTCGAGGACACCAAGAGAGAGCAAATGGCAAAAGTTCAACAGCTGCTGGCACAGATTGGCGACCCAGGTTTCTTCCATGTAGACGAGCTGTCGCGAGAGCAGCAGCCTTTGGATTTCGACACGCTTACTTCATCAGTGGCATCCTTCTTCAGCACTTCCGGCTTGGAAGCAGAGATCCAACTGGCCCAGCGTGTAAAGAACACGGACTTGGAGCGTCAGTTCTATCGCGGCCACGAGCTTGTTACGGCCCCTGTCCCTGAGGGTGCCCTGCGCATTCTGGAAGTCGCCTCACTGGACGTGGCTCAGCAAGTTGCAAAGAAGGGCCTTGGGCACCGCAAGAAATTTCAAAAGGGGATGGCAGCCTTCTGCGACTTCTACAAGTCCTATAAGCGGAAAGAGTCGGCACCGAGCCTGCTGACTTTGGTCCTTTGCCGAGTTCAGACGGGTCGTGTTTACACCGTGGGCTCTCACTTCAAGCATCATCAGATCAAGTGGGAACAGGTAAACAAGCCGCCCGCCAGCTTCGATTCCGCCTTCAACTCAGGCACCGCTTGCTTGCGCCTTTTCCGCCTTTCGGTGGGTCTGCCGAAGTACATCCTCCAGGCTGCGGGGTGCTGAAAACAAGGGGGAGGACTCGCAGGCAGTGTCGATTCCTGTTTGCAGGTGCGGCTGAGGGAAGCGGCCGGCGTAAGGCCACCACATTGGTCGGGTGCGGAATGCCCAGCACACTCCGAGCGCTTCTGGAAGCTGAGTGTGGCTTCGGAGTTGGAGCAGCAGGCCTTGGGAAAGGCCCTGGCTCCTGGCTCGAGCTTGGGGGGGAGGGACATGCAAGTGCGAGGGGAACACAGTGGCTTCCGGATAAAGAGGGCTTGGCGACTGGAGCACGATGTTCTGTGGAAACAATACATGGCTGCTAGGACCAAAGTCCAGGTTCAAATGGAATCTCTCAGGAAGCAGGGTGCCTGCTTCGCCAATGTCCGCTTGAGAAAAGAATACAGTGCCCTCCTACGTGAGCTGCCCGTGAACAAAACAAAGGCGATGGACGAACAGATCAACGAGGTTTACTTAAGCCGTGGGACAAAGCCTGAAGTGCTTCTCACCATTTTGCAGAACGGCTTGAATGAGCGCTTCAGCGGAGGCCTCTTTGGCAACGGTACCTATTTCGCTGAGGATGTGGGGAAGAATGACCAATACTGCACTCCGGACGATGGCGGAGAGCATCAACTTCAAAAAGTCTTGTACCACGAGCTGAAGATTCCTCCTGCACACGGTGTCTTCTACGTCTTGTTCTGCCGGGTCATTCTCGGCAGTCCAGTACGGACTCAAGATGGAGAGCACGACATGGATCAGGGATCTCTAGCCAGTGTCTGGAGCAGCAGGCCGCGAGAGTTGGCAGCAATTCCGAAATCAAGTCCCCCTATCAACTTCCATTCCCTTCTCGCAGAAAAGGGGGATAAGCTCAAGAGATACCGCGAGCTGATCGTGTACCACGGTACCCACATCTATCCAGAGTATGTGGTCGCGTACCAACGTGTCTGATCAACAACCGTGCTTGCGAGCGAGAACCATAGAAATTGGAGTCCCAAATAGGCATCGCTACATATACCAGATGAAATTTCAATATTCAGTTTATACAGACGGTCTTGGTGTCTTATGACCCTTTCATGAGTAGTAAGATGATTTTTGAGTCAGCAGTTTTTTTTGACTTCTCGACAATTGATAACGATTTGCAAAAATATTTTTCCGAAAGGGCCATCTATTCGTTTTCTATTCTGTTATACTATTTTGATTTTTGAGGGATGATTTGGGTTGTGTGATCTTCTTTCCTGTATGACAAAGAAGTGATTTTGGGGTCCCTTTTTGGTTGGGCATTGGTAAAATGAAAAAGCGGGGAGAGTCCGGGTGATATGGTCCGGGGCTTGCTCTTAAACCAATTTCAATATAAGATCACGATATAATTAGACAATCTTTATGAATGGATCTCTGGAACTCTATATTCTGAATTTCTCAGATTTCGATACGAACTAGAGATAAGAAAGATGAGAGATAAAATAAATAACTACTATTTTTGATTTCATATAAATCGTGGCTACTGAAAATGAACCTTATCTTTATATAATGATGGCGTTATAATATAATATCATATGAAATTTGAGAATTAGAATATTATACATCTTATTTGAAGAATATTCTTAAAACATTTTCTCTTCTTCTATTAATGATTAATTGTCTATAATATATAATAATATAATATGATATTAAATATAATTATATATATATATTTATTTTTAAGAGATATATAATTAAGGAGATCTATAATTATATATATCTAATTATGAATATAATAAAATAGTTAGCCTCATATTTTATATGCTCTAGATATTTCTATTCGAAAGATAAAGAATTAAAGAAAAAACTAAGAAAGAGATATAGAATAGAAATGATTTTAGATATTTCGTCCATATATCATGCAGATATATATATATATATATTATCTCGTGGCTTAATAGAAAAATTTGAATCATAATAATGATTAAAAATAAAATGAATAAAGACTATCTTATAATAATAATATCGAGTTATAGATAAAGAAGAAAAGAAATTGAAAAATAGAGAAAGGATGAAACATATAGATAAAGAGAGAGAGAGAAAAAGATAGATAATAGATAGATATATCTTTCCCCATATTAGTCTACATCCCTATATATAATCATATATTTATATTCATTATATCTATTAATAATTATCTCAAATATCATATTAATTTGATTGGCATCAAAAAAATATTCATATGAGATTATCTGATCCTAGATTTTAAAAGCTATGAATATTGAAATATTGAATAAAAATTTTGAATA